ACGCAAAAACCTCAAAACAGATCTGGATGAAATTTAGCACAGAGATAGATTATAGTCTGAAATAGCACATAGGCTACTTATTATCCCGAAAAAATGACAGTGGCATAACCCATGATCACGAGTGCTCTAATTTGTAATTTTTTTTAAATATTTTCGTATTAGCTATTACTGTTAGCGGCATATATTTAGAGTTAAAAAGTGTTTTATTAAATAGCTCAACCATGACTGTATACCAAAATCAATCATCTATACAAATAAATAAAATTGGAGTGTCTGTTTGTAATATTAAAATAACCGCATTTTACTAAACGCATATGTATGTTTACACGGTACATATGCCAAAATATTTTTTTTACAATTTTTGTCTGTCTGTCTGTTTGTTCCGGGTAATCTCTGGAACGGCTGGACCGATTTCAACGGGACTTTCACTGGCAGATAGCTGATCACATAAGGAGTAACTTAGGCTACTTTTTTTAGATTAGCTTCGCCCCGCGGCGTTGACCGCAGTTATAACAACAAACGCGGGTAACACCGCGGGTCTCAGCTAGTTTCATGATATAATCATAAGACGACAATCTGATGTCGAAGACAGTGTGTAGTTTCCATTGGTCAGTTTTACTGAGACATTATTACTTCACTGGGGGTTCACACACCCCGTTACTAGGCCCGTTAATTATTTACCTAGTTATTTAAAAGCCAGTTGATTTCCCTGTCTTAATGGCTATCAAATCACACAGCAACACGTATGCAAGCCGGCACAGTAACACGTGTCACATGTACCTTTAGTTAATTTTATTGACATCCAAATTATTATCATTTTAACATTAAGTAATGGTCACATACACGATTCTAGTAAGTTTTAAAAGAATTAAATAACGAGAGGTCAATAAATTCCGGCTTAAATATGTACATTGATGATTTAAAATGTATTTTAAATTATAGAACACTAGCTTCTACACTTGTAAAAAAAGTAAGAAAGTAAAAAGTTTATTTTTAAACTCGGTTTAGTAGTTTAGGTTAGCGTTAACAACCTTATTTTCAAACTTATTTTCACATTTATAAGTATGCATTATAGGATATAGAGAATCTCTATTGATTTCTAGAGATTGACTGAAGTGAATACTCAAGTCTATCACCACCTTAATAGAAACCAGCGAAAACCCATGGTAATATTAACAATTTTGCAGTATTTTTTTTAATAAGTATATGAAATTGTTTGCAGTATATTAACATACCTCACTCGGTGAAAAGTAAAGAAAAAGTTGTTTGAGGTCATGGTAACGCTCCGATGGACCCTGCACATTTGTGCTAAAGCATGGCTCTCCCACGGAAAATAGAAAGAATAATTACGTCATGTACGAGTATGTACAAGCACTGGATTAAAACAGCAGCATAATTCTTTCTATTTTTTTTGTGTGTTATTGTATTTTTGGTTTGTAGATTTTGTTGTTTCCATTGTATTTTTTTTAATGTATGAATCTTGTGTTCGCAATAAAGTTTTTTTATTATTATAAAGTCCATCAGGCGTTCAGGGATTTTTTCATAGGTTAAATGCAAGCTTCCGGCCATCAACAGTAAATAGTCACTCGTGGCGTGACCGTGTGACATTTTTATCGATTGGTGCCGACATAACCACTTTCGCGAATGTTCAATGAGTTCTTTTCACTCTTTAAAAAAAGCTATAATACACTACTAGTATGTTAGTTTTAAAAATAAATGCTACTTTGGTCTCAGTTTAGTTCTAGTCTAATTGTTAACAAAGAAGTAGAACTCAATCAATTACATTTGAAAGAATTCGGAAGGGCAAAGAACAAGCGGGTTTCTAGTGAAACACAATTATACTTATTAGCATACATTACCATATGTTAGTTTACAGTTTAATGTTATGCAATAAAAGTTACTAACACCCATATTATATATTAAAACAATATTATCTTGACTTCATCTTACTATTACTACACATTTAAACATTTTGTCACTTCGAATTTAACGTTAAAACTACATAATTAGTTACTTTTTATAGCTACTTAATGTTTTAACTGCATGTCACTGTACTTAAATATTTAATTCGGAATGAATGTTTGTATTTTTTATGATTCATCTATTATTTATTACTTGTCAAAACTTGTAACACCATATTTTGGCGATACCTTAGGTAATAACAATAATAATATTAAGTCACTATACTTAAATATTTAATTGAGAATGAATATTTGTATTTTTTTTAGTGACCAACCGAAGTTTTGGTTTTAGGTTTCGGCCAGTTTCTGCCAAAAAATCTTGTTTCGGTTTCGCTGCACTGCGCTGAAAGTCAGTGTTCGTGAATAGTCATGCGTCATTCGGCTAACTTTGCGGCTAGCTCTTCGTTCATCGGTTGTGGCTCAGTTCGCTACCGCCCAGTGCGATCTTGTGAGTTGTGTTTTATGCATAAATAATTTGTAATGATGATGATGATGAATTAGGTAAGTATATGTTTTGTTTTTACTTGTTTAATCTATTAGGTATAGGGGTTCAACTGGATCGATTTCGCAAGCCTTCTGCAATATGCACTAAGGAAAGGCAAGTGTTTGGGATGTACACTATGTTAGTCCTAATCAGGTGGAGACAACTGGATGCGAAGATCAAGATTATTTTGAAAGTTAAATTCAATCTTATCTGTCAGAACCATTATTTTAACGCAATGCGCATAAATATATATATCCTTATTGGAACAGCAGTCCATACTCTACGCAAAGAAAAGTTTTGAAGTATCTTCTATCTCTTATCTCCGCCTAACAGTGTTCCAGGTAAGCAGCTGTTTTTTGCTGCTAGACAAATATACGTTTTACGTTTTAAGTAAACTAATCTTCAGAATGTTAACACAATAATTAAAATCAATTGAAAGTCTTATTATGTTTAAGTGCTGATAAAATATCAATTTTATTTTAAAGTTTACTTCGAACCGTATGTTCTTTTTTTAGCATATACCTATATGTATGTAACCAATACGCCATCCGGCCATCCACCATAAATATATTATGGACGACCGGATGGCATAGTGGTTTACCGCCGCCCATGAACGTCTGCAACTCAGGAGTCACAAACCGTTGCCGGCCTTTTAGTAAGGAGTACGCTCTTTTCTTGAAGGTCGTTTCGGTCCGGAAATACCGCAGAATATAATCCGTTGCACAGATTGGTTGTGCGAGGCAAAAAGGTATACTTAATATGTATTATTATTTAGAAAAAAAAGTATATATGTATTTATATCAGTTGTCTAGTACCTATATTACAAGCTCTGGGTTTGGGACTAGATGGCGTTGTGTAAATGTGGTAGATGATTATTATTTGTGACATACTTTCATTATTCTATTTTTTATTTAACCCCATATGTAAATAGGTACATGTAGATAAATGTTCAAAAAATACACTAGATTTCAGTATACAATAAAAGTTCTCTGTATACTAGTTAGTTGTATACTGATATCTAGTGTATTTTTTATATGATAGATTGGGTTGCGGTTTAGGCCGAAATTGAAGCAAGGGCCGAAAGTTCGGTTTCGATTCCGGTCGAAACTGAAGCAAGGTCCGAAAGTTCGGTTTCGATTCCGGTCGAAACTGAAGCAAGGGCCGAAAGTTCGGTTTCCATTCCGGTCGAAACTGAAGCAAGGGCCGAAAGTTCGGTTTCGGTTTCAGCCGAAACCTGTTTTGGTCGGACACTAATTCTTATATGATTCATCTGCTATTATTACTTGTTACTTTACAAAAACTTCTAACACCATATTTTAGCAATACCTTAGGTGTGGGTATTATCAAGCCTCACATGTGACCAATTTAGATTTTGTAATTGTTTTGTGTACAAAGGCAAAATCTTTAATCTACTTAATTAAAAAAAAGTAACACTACAAGAAATATTTTGTTGTAACGAATAAAGATTTAATGCAGTAATCCAATTTATTGGTTGTAAAGGTAGTGTTAGTTAAAACCTCTTTTCCAAGGAGAGCCCTATATCCAGCAGTTGATGACTAAAGGCTGTTGATGAAAGGTTGTGTTTGACATAAAATAGGCTTATAGGAATCATGAATGTTCTGTTTAATCGGTATGATAATATTGTCCTCGGTTTATTACCTTACCTACAGCTTTTAGGTAGCCCCCATACAAAAAGTGTGTTACTTTGCACTGATATTTTATTTATGTATAATCATTTAATAATACTATAATTGGAACATTTTACAATTTTATATTATTTACTACCTGTGGGTTCACATGCTTTTTAACCATAGCCATAGCGCAAACTTGGTAAAAGTTTACGCACCATACTATACTTTACTGCAATCACCAATATTTTCTTTTTTTTATGATCACTACTCAGTTTATGTGGCCCACATGATGTTATAAACAGATATTTATAAAATAAAGCTCATTGGCATTTTAGAGAAAGACAGTTGACTTGATAAAGAGAGGTCATAAAGGGGCATCTTTCTGTAACACCTATATATCTCTTAGACCTACACTCTTACTACTCTATGACCATGACATTGTAATAAGTTCACATTACTACTAGAGAAAAGCTACATTAAATACATGTAACATAAAAATCTGAATGAAATAATATCAATATTCTTTATCTTAACAATAAATTCTGTTTCTAATTACAGATTGAGATACTGATAACAGACAAGAATTTGCAATTTTTTTTTTAAATATTGTTGATGGTATGATGTTAAAAGCTTTAATTTTTAAATATGTTTTATTTGCACAAAAAAAAACTGACATCTGGTTTAAATACAATGGAAAAATAATAAATTGATACTGAGTTGCAATTAATTTTAAAGCAGCTTTTCAAGTTTTTAATGATAAATTAACTGGCTTTTTTTAATTCATTATAGTTTTAATTACATACCTATACATATTATCATGAATATGCCTACATATTTAAATAAAATATTTATCAGATTGCAACCTCGTGTAATAAATAATACTAATCTCCCATTGGGCACAAAAAGATAACAAATAATTTTTACCTTCCTGTACATGATGTCCATTTAAACTGGTTTGGGACATTGTAATGACTATATTCCACTTATTTTAATCACACAGTAATCACGTCCAGAATTAATGCGACTAACAGTATTAATTATAATTTAATATTTAAATACTGAATTCCCGAAGTTTAAAGCGGCAATTACTTTCAATTAGCTTTTAGATTACAACAGTTGACCGCAAACGTAAGTTTATGTAAGGTTAAAATCTTTAAACACCACCATATAGCACACTACACAAATTACGCACGCATTGACGGCCACAGTCTTATGAAACTAAACAAGAATAAAATTATCGATTACGCATAGTTTCCTAGAATAAACCAATTGTCACCTGTTTTTGACACTGACAGCGGACATCATGCACAAACGGCTTTCAAATTCTTGCCATAATGAAAAAAAAGTTTGTGCCGTGTATACAGGGCATTGCAGACATATGATTTCAAATCGTACACTTGTTCACTCATTCATATGTTCACTCACTTATTATGGTGACCTGTCAACAAAAAGTGTCAGCGACCAGCGTCAGAGAAACAAGAAAGCTGAAATAATATTCCTAGAAATCAGTTATTGTTGATTAAATTAAAATATAATGGCAGACAAAAGAAAAACTAAAAAGCGCAAAGAGGTAAGCTATCTAATAAATATATCATTACACATATCTTTGTACCAAATTTTTTTGTTGTTTTTAAATCTACGTTTCCATATTGCTGATGCGGCGTGTGAATTTTCCATATTCTTTATTAATTTTCGTGCAATTTAAAATCCATATTAAACACTGCGTCAGGTTTAGCCATTTATTTTAATATAATGCCTGATTTACGTCAGAATATTAGAGTTAATCGTTGTATTTATTGAATGACGCATCATTTCGATTTTATGTTTAGTTTAGTGGCTGGCTGAAAACCAACCTGTTTTATGCGTAGTTCGTGAGTTTCAGCGTCATTGTTAGAGCTCACAGTCAGTGTTTTTAAGAATTCTTTGGCACGAATTATTTAATGTTATATAGTTTCCAAGATCTCACTTAATACATGTTGATCACAGCAAGCATGTAATTTTTTTTTCACCTGTGTCAAATTTTGTTACCACAAATCTAACTATTATTCATTACATTAAGTAGATTGTCAAAAATATTTTTTTTCGCACTGAATTACTTGTGAGAAAAATTTATTTGTACCATTGCATGCATTAGCTTATTAATTATATTTTTTGTTTACAGCGAAAAAAGGTTTGAACATTTTTATAACAGTTTTTGCACAGTAATAGTTTGCTATTTTATTATTTTTACATACAAGTTGTGGTAGTGTAGATTTGGTTTAATGGTTTTGTTGTTTACTTTAACTCTAGTTTTGTACACATGCACATTTATTTATATGACTTGTAAATTAGTCACTCACTGGTATAGTATGGTTTGAAAATATCTAGTATTTTCTATATTATTAGCACTGAATAAAAAAGAACACAATAGACGATAAAAGATCTACTAAGCACAGTGTTGATTTCAATCAAATTTTTTATTATTTTTGGATGCACGTTTTTAGCAATTTTTGACTAATAAGTTATTAAATAAATAGTTATAACTAGTGACAGTTGGGTACATCGGGTAGAGACAAGTCAAATTAGCACACCCAACCAAATACCAAACTAAGCGCACCAGACCAGAAATTCTTTAGTATTAGGTTGTTTTATTAATTAATGGCCCAATATAAAAATGCAAAGGCATGCTTAAGCTATCAATACATGAGTGTGTAAATACAGAATCAAAGCATCATTAGTAATTTCTAAGTAATGCGTACACAGAAAGAACATCCATTGTATTCAATTCAGTCTATTTCCTCTTCAGTACAGTGACTTAAAGTTTTATCTGCAGACTAGAATAGTAGTAGTAGACTATAGACCATTACAGACCAAGGTTAAAGACCATTATCAGCACCCTGTCTTTATCTATCGCAACAACTGTGTAACAAGTAAATATAATAACAATAATTTAACTGCTTCGTGTTTTGGTTGGATATCTTACTAAGTTATCTTATTTAATGTAATCTACTGTTGTCAGTAGTGTCGTTGGCTACATTTTATTGAGGACTAATACAACATTCAACACCACCGCTCTTGTTTACCATCCTGATGTGACTGTCTTGGGACATATTTATACTATCACATTGCCCTTACTTTTTGGTCCAAATTATATTCACAAATTAATTATAAATAGTCAAACCTTATGTTGAGTGTATACTTTAATTTGTACATTATACTTAAAGGATGCTTTCAGAATAAATGCCAAAGAAATTGCAAGAGAAATTTCTTGAGCATTCCTAAGTTTTCGTAGAGCGGAGGCATTGCTGCATGACAACCTTAACAGAGCCGAGCACTTTAATTTCAGTGTGTTTTCATAAATCACTTTTAAACTGTAATTGTTATGTGCATAATAATTTACAAAATAATTAAAAACACTGGGTTAGCTGGCCTATTCCAGATTTGTTGACATTGTGGCAATAGTGATAGACATAAGTTTCGTAACTTTTGAAATACATCTCTGGCTCTCATATTAGATGGCTGAATTGTGGGTGGGAATGTGGGCTCATAAGTCTCATTCTTGCCTGCTTCTTGTTCTCATCATTGCTATTTGTAGCCCTACCCATGTGAAATCCAGTTTTTAAGTGTTTCAACTTTGAAAGTCATTGTGAAACTCAAAGCATAAAGCCAAATTGATAAATAATTTTAATATACCAGAGAGATTGGACTAAACTTATTGCAAAAAATATTGTCCAGTCTTTGACAGGTTAGAAGGTGATGTTAATACACTATCAAATCACAAATGAGGAGGATAATCATGATCCACTAGATAAAGAAGTAGGTAAAATAAGGGTCTTATAAATTGGGACATACTCCTATATTCTATTGGCATCGTGTTACAGATTATGTATCCGTATTTTAACTGTCATTGTAGAATTAGTTACACTTTGATCTGGATCAAACATATGCATGGAAGTTACGTGAGGTAATTACATTATTTATGACTGGTCCGGTGTTTTTTACCCATCTTTTTTCTTTTGACGTCACTCGTGAAGAACTTCGTTTTTTATTAGATTGATTCAGCAAGTTCATAGGGTTTAGTGTGAGTTTATTTCACATCAAATCGCTCTTGAGAGCGTTTTGCACTGCGTTTGGTGAAGAGTTCGGCGCAGGCTAATCACAACACCGAACGTGATCACCTTGACAATGGTGTTGATGTGAAATAAACTCACACTAAACCCCCAGAAACTACGTTTACATCAGTTTTTGCTAATGTGATGTCAGTGCATAAACACAAATGTCGATACTAAGTGTTATTCTCACTTGTGTTGGCGGGATATACATTAGTGATGTGCCGGATCGTTAACAAAGTATATCCGCGGATACGGATCCGAATACGGATATTTGGTGTCAAGATCCGCGGATACGGATACGGATCTTAAGTTTCTTACTCAATCGGAGCCCGTGACCTTGATAGTTGTCGCCACTTGACGCTTTGCCGTTGATATTTAAATATTTCATTATTTTAATAAGCTAATACAAAGATGTTTGATTGATCTCATTATAAAGATAGCTCTTTCAGTACCCACGACCTGCCTATTTGATTTAGTGTAGTACGATAAATGATTGCAATACAAAGGTGCCAAATATTTGTTTTAAGAAATAAAAAGTAATCTGAACAGAATTTAATAGTTTTTCATAGCTACCTAATAATCATTATTCAGGGTTACTTTAAATTTACTGAAAACCTCTGAAGTGCATATTAGTAACATTATAAACAACAACTTTTCTTCTGGACTAACACCGAAAACGAAAGAAAAAAAATTGTTTCTCCATATAAACTAACAACATTTGATTGGTCATTTGAATGGAGGACCAATTTTTTTTTATTTTGACGTTGGCCAGAAAAAAAGTTGCTGTTTATAGTGTTACAAACACATACCTAAGAGTTTTACAGTGAATACGAAATCACCTATATAGAATTTCATCTATGTAATACGTATTGAAAGATCCGCCAGAAAAGTCACGGATACGGATACGGTTACGGATCTCTCTTCTCCTTTGGATATCCGCGGATACGGATACGGATATCCGGCACATCACTTACATACATTACTTAATTATCCTTCGCTAGAGAATGGTTGCAGATGCTCGGAGGTCTTTGGTGTATGTCCCTTGTGCTTCGACGAGGTGTACTATCTTCCCAATCTTATTATTTTATAAAGACATTATCAACCTATTACATTCATGTTTTGTAGCTGACATATATACATGGATGGATTTTCAAATAGTCTAATGACTAGTCCTTAGATGATGTCGTTGAAAGCGGTTGGATACTTGGTATGTCAGACAGCTAAAAATAAGATAAGACATGCCAAAGTTAATTCCATTAAAGTTGATGTGAAATTGACGATTGGATAACCATCATAAATGGTTCTCATTCTCATCTCCATAATCCCACCTGGAAGTTCGAAAAGACGCATTATACAGGCAAACGTTCATGGAACTAAGCAATTTGGCTAATTTTCAACATTCATTTTTGACCAACATTTGAGTCGCTATATTTTTTTATAAACAATTTGCAGCCATAAATTCTTAATTCTCTTTAAAGGTCGCAGTAATCATCAGTAGTTAGACATTAATGAAATTCCTTAAGGGCTACTTTTAAACTGCACCTAAAATTGGATGGAACATACATAATATTACAACTAGAACTGGTTGCATGCAATGAATACCTAACTGTGTCTGATTGAGCGGCATTTTACAATTGCGTGTTCGAACGGCTCTTTGTACGTACATTCATTTAATATGCGGATAAAGATATCAAATTCAGCTTTAACTTATCATATTCTTTTAAAATCCGGTCCGCTTTTCTGATAGAATTATACTTCTTTTCGTGTATCTCTCGTTTCTTGCGATATTGATGCGTGACTTTATAGAAAATATCTTTCTTAGAAAGTCTAAATTGTTAAGGTTATACTTAGGTTACTATATTTGAAATATTAGTAAACATGCATTTATAGATGGTTTATTATCTTAGCAAAGAAAACTTAAAGTTAATTCTTGACGTATACGTGTAACGTACTTATAAAGTAAGATCTGGGTCGGCGCTTTAGCTGCACACAGTAGGTACGTTTGACATTCTAAAGTTTGTTAGACAATATCCAAGTAATGTTATTCGGCAGTATACCTGGCAATAATTCACGTTTTGCTTGTTTCACATCACATCACATCAACAGCCTTTAATAGTCCACTGCTGAACTTAGGCCTCTCCTTAGAAAGAAGGTTTTGGCCTACTATACCACGCTGGCCAGGCGGGTTGGTATAGGGTTTGTGTCAAGTTTGCCGTCTTTTTGCAGTGCTGGTGTCCTGCGTTTGTATCAGTTTAATTTTATCTAAACATTCCCAGACATATTTTAATAATCTTTGCTCATTGCTGAAAATTTATATTTTAAAATCTCATTCAACAAACCTTGGCACACAAATTCCTTTTTAATTTAGTTTTCAGGATTGGCATTATTTATTAATTATAATGCAAAATACTGTACGACTTCAATTATACTTGCCAAATAAACCATCTAAAATAAAACATTAAAAAGCGAAAAAAAGGAT